GAGGGGATGGCACTGGGGAGGCCATGTCCTGGTGTGCCTGCGACCCGGGAGACATTAGGGGAGTCTTGACTTTCAGACTAAGAAAGTCTAGGGCAAACTGGTATGAGTGGGCCACTGGAAAAAAGGCCTTCAGGGTGCATGTTGGCACAGTAACAAAAGATTATGGCACTAAGCTGGTACTCAACACAAACCTGAAGGTAGAGTGCAGAGCACAGTTCTTGCACAGTCCACCCAAGGCAGGCTCTTTGGAGGGAACTGCAGTCCCTCCAACACATTCCCAATCTGACTCATTTGCCTCTGCAGGACCCCGGCGTCTTCTCTTCCCCATCTCAAGCCTTACTTATGCCCTTGGGTTACCTCTCCTACCCTTCCACTTTTCCAAGATCCCCTCCTTTGGGTACCAGGGTGACTACTAGCAATTCCCCCCAACCTTGTCGGGGCTCTCCTTCCACCAGAAAACCGGGGAACCTTTCCCTTTCTATCCACTGTACCCTCACAGCCTAGGGGCCATGGGAACTCTAGGATTTGATACCTGTACTCTCCCAGGAAGCCAAACACCTGCCCCTGTCATCCCCTGGCTGCTAGTCACCTGCCCCTTGTAACTAACATCCTCTCCTTCCCTCTTCTGCAGCCCCCACCTCCAACTCACATGCTAAGCCCTAATCCTCAAAGTGACGGTGTTATAAATAGGAGCCAGGACTTTAGGAAGTGATTATGTCACGGGAGTAGAGCCCTCATGAAAGTGCCCTTATGAAAAGGACCCTAGAGAATCAGCTTTCCATCCCTTCTGCCTTGGGGGGACCTGGTAATAAGGCACAGGACACATGGACTAGAAAGGTCCCCTCAGTGTAGGTAACCACAGTGGCTGGTTCCTTGATCTCTGATTTTCTAGCCACCACAGCTATAATCAACAAACATCTGTTGTTTATAACCCTCAAACCCTGTGGTATTTTGTTATAGCAACTGAAATGGGCTAATACACTCTCCTTTTGGGACACAAAGCCTCACTCAGAGACACAGCTGTACATGGGAAGCAGGCTTACTTAGTTCTGCATTCTTACACAGCAGTTCAGTTAAAAATATTCTCATCTCTACAGCCATGCAGACATATTTAGCTACTTCAGAGAGCCTTAGTTTCTCTAAGACTCAGTTTCCCCACTTGAAGCCCGACACTCTTCTACAACAGATACAGTTCTAAAGCATAAGGGAGGGGCTGGAGATCTGGCTGACGAGTTAAGGGCACTTGCTGCTCTTGCAGAGGACTGGGTTCCGTTCCCAGCACCTACATAGGACAGTTTATAAAAACAAATAACTCAAGTTCCAGGGACTCCCATGCTTTCTCCTGGTCTCTGTGGGCACTACATACATGTGGTGCACATGCAGACATACCCACACATACACATAACTAAAAAGAAATGAAAATTTAAAAATTAAATAAAACTACTAGGGAAAGAAACAGGGAAGAGAGGCTGCACCCTCCTTAGAAGCTAGCCCTTCGAATGAAGCATCAGAATCCCCTGGAGGGCTTGTCAGAGCACTGAGGCCAAGGCCTGCCCTGCAGCATCTGCTTCACTAGACCTGCTGTGGGGAGGGAGGTTCCTGGGGGAGGCTGCTGCTGCTGCTTGTCCGTGGCCCACACTCTGAGAACCCTGCTAGAACCCGCACAGCATGCATGAATAGCTACAGGAAACATGCCAACCTGCACACACCACGCCTTGGATGGGTTTCTCTTGGAAGTCTGTTTAAATAAGTCACAATGGCCTCACAGCTTAAAACGTATCTCTATTTACTGTGTTCCGAAGAGGATGCTATTTGTGGAAGGAAAACTGTTCTAAGAAGTTTTTTCCGGCCTCCCCCCACCTCACCCCGGCTTGGGTAGATACAGCCATTCTGCCCCATCCTCTGTCCTAGAACAGTGTTCAAACAGACACCCCTCCGACCCTCCTCTCTTGTGCAGGCTGAAGGCTCTGAAAGCTGTCACTGAGGCCGGGACTCGGGAAGTGGGCCATACACATTAAGTAAGTACACGTAAACACTCAAAACACACAAACACTCTCAGTCTGGCAGAGTGAGGGCATCTTTCTCCACATAACTATGTCCAATTTAATTTGCACCCCCGCTTACTCCTGCCAGCCATTCGAGCAGGCAAACTGAACAAACCTACGCTTTCACAGGGCTGCTCGGCCAGTTTCCGCCTGCCTTTGGTGGGGGAGGCCACGGCTTTCTTTTTGTCCCTAATGTCCACCCAACTGTCTACCAGAACTACAGGCTTTCTGACCTTTACTCTGGGGGGCGTCCCGTTTGCTGGACCAATATGTCAGACAGAGGCCGTGACAGGGCATCTCTGCTGTGGAAACCACACATCTATCTCTTCCCGATGGGGGAAACTGTCTTTTTGCTCCAGGTCTCTAGAGCACTCACATTCCTAAACCCCTCAGTTTATTTGGTTGTTGGTGACCGGCAGCTCAGTTTTCACAGAGGTGGGCAGTTTTGACTAGACGCAACTGTCAGAGGGTTCCAGTGAGGGGGAAACCTTAGCCAGTTGGCATGACACAACCCAGCTATCAGCTCCATCTGCCAGGGTTCAGTTACCAGCCCTGAAGCCAAAAAGAAATGGGTTTCTTGGACACCAAAGTGGCGGAATTTGAGTTGTGAATTATATAACCCACTAGTATGCCTCACACTATGCTGTGGACACTTTAAAACACACACACACACACACACACACACACACACACACACACACACACACACACACACACACAGTTTTTTAAGACAAAGAAACGAACGGGGAAACATCACACACCGCAAACCCCCATCCCACCCATCCCTTGCAGCTCTCCTTCCTGCTTCAGAGAACTTCAGCTGGCCCTTCCTTCCCTCACCTTCCAGCCCCAGGAGTTAAGAAGCGCTGCAGCTTTCAGAGCAGGAAGGTGTTGTTTTAAGAGCCCTAGGAGCCCCCCTTCTCAATTTCAGCTCAGAGCTGAGATCACATCCCCCACTGCAGCCAAGGGACAAAAGCCATTTATCAACCCATCTGATAAAACTTCCAATGGGCTGGATCTTTATCCGGACCAAACCAAGACCGAACACAACTGCACGCTGCCGCTTCCCTGAAATTCTTTTTCTTTCTGATGGTTTTTGTGTTTTTTTTTTTTAAATTTTAACTAAATTCTTTTTATAAATTCTTGGGAAGGAATAAAAGCAGTCTTTCAAATAGAACATTTAGAGCACAGTCTCTCAACCTGTGGGTCTCGACCCCCAGGGAATCGAATGGTCCTTTCACAGGGTCGCCTAAGACCATCGGAAAACAGATATTTACATTACGATTCATAACAGTAGCAAATTTACAGTTATGAAGTAACAACGAAAGTAATCTTATGGCTTGGGGTCACCACAACATGAGGTACTGTATTAAAAGGGGTGCAGCATTAAGAAGGTTGAGAACCACTGATTTAGATGAAGAAACTTGGGTTTTAAAAACACGATAGTAGGGGGAGGTTCTCCCCTGCTGGAACCACTGCGGGGTTTTGATATTTCCAGGGTGTCTGCAGGGACATACTGACACCCCTGCCCCCTCGTTCTGATCCTGGGCAGCGATCTATCTCTTTCGGAGAGAGTTTCAGAAAAAGGTTTTGAAAGTCTAGGATGCTCCTGGGTCTGGCAGCCGCTAAGGGAGCAGGGACGCTTTGGTTAAGCAGGTACTGGGAGGGGGGGGGGCGCAGCTCAGCTGAGACAAGAGAGTAAACTCACCCTTACCCCACAGTGTTTGTGTGCTCCCCGGGAATGCCAGCTTGCAGCCAGGCCTAGCCTGGACTGCCTGCCCTGTTCTGTCAGTTCCTTGAAATCCAGTTGGCTGAAGAGGAAATCAAAACAACCCAGTCCCAGTCCTAACTCAAAGCGTTTCTTGCAAATCTCAGCTGCGCAGAGGCAGCAGAACCACATCTGGCCGCGCTGCGAGACAAGCTGGAATTTTTTGCTCAAAGACACCTCTGAACCCCACAACACAATGGACACTGCCAGGAGATCCCGCCTTACAAGGAGGACCATTTGGTCGTGACACTGTTTATTTGTATTTTAAAAAGAGAAAAACGTGTGGAAAGCCTTTAACTGGCCTTTTCAGACTCCGAGCAGCATGAAATAAAAATGAAATAAAGTTTTACGAAACATTATAAAAAAAACAGACCGGGGATTTAAGCTTCGTTCATTCCCCCTCCCCCTCCCCCCCAAAGGGGAAAAAAAGTAAAGAAACCGGAGCGTTTGGGAAGGAACAAACGCTTCTCTGTGGAGTTGGTCTCCCTTCCCCCAACAAAAACAAGAGGTCCGGGCTCGGAGGAATTTGAAAGCAGCGATCTGCCAAAAACATTGTGAAAAACTATGGGGGATTCATTGGAAACAGATGGGCTTTTTTAGCTTTAATTCTGAAATTCTCTCGCTTTCTGGCACAATAAAAACAAACGGGGAGGGGGACGCAGAATGTTATCAAACAGGGATTAACGCGTCTGAGCCTGTGTCCGTGGGCTTCCCCGCGTGGGCCAGCGTGGGGGCGGGACGGGGCGGTCGGGGACTAGTCTGGGACCTCCCCAGCGCCCCCAGCTCCACCCCTGGGCAACCAACAGGTTTACAAACTGGTGGGCGAGGAGCTGGAGAAAGTGCCCCTGGGGCGGAGTCCGAGCCTCCCCTTCTCCTCTCCTTTGGAGCACCCAAGAGGCGTCCAGGGCACCCCGTTTCTCGGAAGGAGGGAGGGGGGCAGAGAGGCATGCCCAGCTCTGCAGATCTCTCCACCCGCTCCTGCTCAAAATTTTGAGCTCGGCAGGAGTTCCCTCACCTCCAGGTCTCTTTGGACATTCATCGCTCCCTATGCGGGGTACGGGACAAAGACCCGTGCGAATGGGAATCTGGGTCCCCAAGGGGGCTGGCGAACCGGGGCCCCAACTCGCGCAGGGAGGCCCAGGAGCGGGCCCGGCCGGCTGTCCCCCGGCCAGGGTACTGTGCCTTACCTGCGGGGAAGCTGCAGAGAAGGAAGGCGAGGGTCGGCCACAATCCCAGGGCTGAACGTCCTGCCCCTCTCCCCATACCCATCCATCCAGCTCGGCCTGTTACCACTAGCCTCTCCCTGGAAGAAGTTTAGAAGAAAAGGAGGGGGAAAAAAAAAAATCAATCACGCTGCGGAGAAGAGGCAGCCTCCCTCGGCCGGCGGGAGCAGCGAGCCGGGAGGCCCGGTCCACCTCCACCAAGGGAGCCCAGTGTCGTCGTCCCACCCCCCTCCTCCCCCGTCCCGGGCCCCGCCTTCGCCATCCATCATTCGCTCCCCCGCCAATGTCGTCGCGGCCCCGCGCCCCGCCGCCGCGCGCCCCGCCCTCCCGAGCTCGGGTTTCATCCTGGCGGGCGGGAGCGAGGGAGGAGAGGCGGCCCGGGCTGCCGGGCGGGTGGCCAAGGGGACCTGGGGAACCAGGGGCCCGCTAGTGCAGGGCGCGTCCCCGGCTCCGATCTAACTGCCACTCCCCACTCACCCGGGTGGCTGAGGCGCTCAGGGCACCAGGATCTCAGAGAGCTTTAATCCTCCCCCATCAGCACCTCATCCAAGTTGAAAGACCTTGGAGACAAACTCCAGCCTCCTTTTGCAACAAGACTACCGCCCCAGAGCCGCCACCACCGACACCCCTTGGCTCATTTCCCCCCACCTCAGATGTCTCGCCGGTGCAGAAGACTGAAAAGCCTCCTCTGGACTTGTCAGGCTCTGGGACGAATGACCCACTTCCACGGCGGCACCTCAAGGATCACGCCCGCCTTGGACCTGGGCGCCAGCGACCTCTGGACGCTGCTGGGTGCCCCCTCCCGCACCATCTCTAAGCACCGGGCTGCTTCTGGAGAACTTGGCCCTGTTTGCAACAACAGAGATCTCTCTCACAAACCGAGATCCTGCGGGCCTAAGGCTGCCTTCCGGGACACAGCTACCAACCTAGTGAGACAGAGATACCGTGGTCCCTGGGGCGCGCGGGCCGAGCCCTCTGGTGTAGAGCCAGAGGCTGTACTCCCAAGGCCCATCTTGGAAAGGCTTCCGAGTGGTGATCTCCCTTGATTCGGTCACTTACTTTTCCAGGAGAAACATGTCTCCTCTCCAAGGTTCCCTAGCTCTTCTGCCTTTGTTGGTCTTTAGGGGACTGGCAACTTCCCCTGAGAAACATCTTCTGGGTGACACAAATATGCCAGCGCGAGTGTTTTTAGTCAACCGGATTCCTCCGCCCCCCCCCCCCAAGCCTGCCCAGCTGGCTCTTTGGGGGTAAAAATTCTGGGGTTTGATCCAATTTCTCTTAAGAGCTATCACAGTCTCATTGCAGGGCCACACAAGCTGCAGGCTATGTCTGCGTTTAGGGCTCTGCGGTGGGAGGGGAGACCGGGGTGGGGGGGGGTGGGGGAGAAGGAGGCTGTGAGGAAAAGGGGGGTGGGGTTCTATGCCCTGAAGTCACAAGGCGGCTCAGACAGGCAGCAAGACAGCACAGCTTCAGAATCTGGCTTTCCTGAAGCAGGTGAGGGGGACTAATTCCTCAGTCACCTGGGCAGCCGGAGGCTGCAGTTCCCTTTGGTCAAAAAGCTCCTGGTTACAGCTGGTCGCCGGTTCCCGTTGGGCTACCCTGGGGGGATTCCTCTCAAATACTTAGGTCCCAGACTAACAGGCTCTGCATACTTATTGTTCCCTTGAACGGAAGCTTCTGAGTGCAGTGTAAGTTTGTCTGGGGAGAGTTCACTGTCTCCAATCCAGGGCTCAAAAGTTTCCCTTTCAAGCCTGGTCGGCCAAACCCAACAACTGTGCGGATCACAGCAGAGCAGCTTGCTCCCGGAGCAGCCCTGGCATACTGAGGCAGGCACTCAGCCAGACTGCCCAGAGGCTTGCTGAGGCCTTTCCACTCCTCAGGTCCAGCAATGAACACCACTGGCTGGAATCTGCCTTCCAGGAGCTCATTCTAAACCTTTGCATAATGAGAGATCTTATAAGTATTCCCAGCAGCCCCTGAGCACAACAGCATCTCCAGGTCTGTGGCCTTCTGAAAGCAGGAAGGGAGTGCCTCTCTAGCCCTGTCCTTCGTCCTGTGGCAGCAAGAATTTTCATCTCGACACCTGTTTCTCCATGTGAAAGGGCCAGGCTATTATTGTCACTTAAGAGCACAATTGAATATAATTTGGGAGGGGTACCAGGCCTTGGAATTTCCCCAGCATCTCTGCTAGGGATAGGTGCTGTCTTGAGAGGGGACTCAACTTTAAAAAAAAATCATTTATGTTTATGTATGTGTCTGTGAGTATGTACACATGTGTGCAGGTGCTGACACAGGCCAGAAGAGGGCGTCAGGTGCCCTGGAGTTGGAGTCACAGGAAGTTGTGAGCTCCCTTCATGAGTCATCTGTAAGAAAACAAGCATTCTGAACCACTGAGAAACCCCTCCAGCCTGAGACCCAAGTTTTTTTCTTTTCTTCCCCTCCCAGCTCTTTGAGTTTGGCATTTCCTCCTACCTGTTTTGATCATATTCACCCCTCCCCCACCCTGTTCCTTACCCACCCAAATTTGTGTCTTTCAAGACCAATTTGTGATGTCCAAATATAAATATTCTTGGGCATGGGGTCTTCCACTAGTCCACTTACCAAGGGATATACCCTTAGAGGAAACTCTCCTCTCAGCAGCTAATGATTGCCATGCGCTCCGTGGCTAGGGCTGGGATCAGTCAGTTAAATGTGCTTGTTCAGGATAGACTCTGCTTTCTCAGGGGATAAAGAAGCCAGGCAGTTCTTGCTGGTCTCCAGCTGTCCCCAGGGAAGGCGTTAGGAGGTGGAGCCTGGTGGTCCTTATGTCCTTGGGACATGAGACGCTGACCCTTCTCTTTTCCTCCTTGGTCTCCTGGCCAAGTTGACGGTGCCACATGCTCCCACCATGCCATTCAGCATGCCCTCCCGAGGCCCAAAGCCGTGGGCCCACCCGGTCCCAAACTGGAAACTCCCAAACTGGGAGCCAAGACAACCTGTTTTGTGTTTCTTTGAACACCCATCTCATGTCCTTTGTGCTATGCTTCACGAGGGATCTTCCACTCCTCCCCACTTGCACAGACACCCTCTGGCCAGGCAACGGGAGCCCCAACCTGCAGGTTTAGCGGCGTCTTCCACATGCAGTCCATTTCTGCTTTGCCCCTCTCCCAGTCCCAGACAGCCTGCAGGAAGCCCCAGTGCCTGGAGAAGAGCTCAGGCTCCTGAGGTTCCACAGCCCCTCCTAGCTTCCAAGGCTTCACCTCACAGTGCTCTTCGTCTTGCCCGCGGAACTCGTTAGGACTTGGTATCCCTCACCTCTCATTCTCTTCGAAACCTCTAGTTCAAATCAGATCTTTCCAAACTCTCCTTCTCCGCTCTAGGATCCAGTGTACGCATTCCGGTGTCTCAAGACAAACCTCGATTTTTTTCCCCCTTTGTAAGTTAACAAGCTCGATTATTTTGTTATCACTATGGAAAGCTAACACAACCTATGGGTTGGATTGCTGTGAAAATAAACACTAGGGAACAATGACGGAGAAGTGAGATATGACTGTCTTTGTCCAAAAGGTGATGCGAATTTTCAGGTGTCTTGAGGGTTGCTTTCTAATGACCATGGCTAATAGTTTGATTTTTTCTTTTTTAAATTATTTTTATTTCTAATTATGCGTATGCATGTGCATCTGTATGGGGGTATAGGCATGTGAATGGAGGTGCCTGCAGAGGTCAGAGATGTTGGAGTCCCTGGAGCTGGAGTAACAGTTATGGGCCACCTGATGTGGGTATGCTGGGAACTGAACTCAGGTCCCCTGGAAGCGCAACACATACTCTTCTTATCCACTGAGCTGTCTCTCCAGTCCCTGGATTTGTTCTTACGCTGTATGTGCTGATTTACATTTTCAGACAGTTTCGACTAAGCTAGGCTCATGATCACCCTTGTTGTACAGAGGATGAAATTGGCTGAGTGATCAGAAACACTCACTCAAGCTGGGCGTGGTGGTACATGCCTTTAAGCCCAGCATTCTGGAGTCAGAAGCCAGCGGATCTCTGGGAGTTTGAGGATGGCCTGGTCTACATAGTAAGTTCCAGATGAGCCAGAGGCGATCCGAGGGGACGATGGGGATTACTGCATGCTGGGGCTGAGGCCGTCCACAGAGATGCCATCTGGTTTTCACTGAAGTTGAATTAAGCTGCTGAGCTTTGTAGGGGCCGATGGAGTCTTCATCATGTGATGACCCACCCCATAGGTTCTTCTGGGAAACACCGTTACTTGTTCCAGATAGGGCCAACTTTGGCATTCCTCATTTGGCTGGCTCCACTCTTGGTTTAGATTTCTCTCACTTGTACAAACAGACCACTGGATATAGATGACGCCAATGGTCTAATACTGGTCTCAGGTATTTCTGCCAACCTCATCAATGGAGAGATGTGTTGCCAGTGCCTCTCAATCCATTGTTACCTCTCAGTTATAAATCTGATAAATATTCTTGAGTGTCCTCTGCTCTCACTCTGCTTTGAAAAAGTAGGGGAGGGGACAGGGGAGATGGTTGGTAAAGTGCTTGCCAACATGAGGACCTGAGTTGGTTGTAGGGTACATTACTTGCCTAGTGTATGCAAGGCTCTGAGTTTGATCCCAGAAACTCACATGTGTTACACGCAAACACACACACACACAAACACACACACAATTTACTTAGAAGAACTGGATTGGTTCACTTGATAGCTTCAAGTGTGAACCTATTCTTTAAATTGACCCGTTCATTTCTCGTTGATACTTCAAGGGCAACTCCTGGTCTAGCCATCTGAGTTGATGAGGCAGTCTTTGTTTGTGTTCTCCATGACCTTCAAGTTTGATCCTATCACTTCTCTGCCTTTATCTTCCCACACTGAAGCCCTAAAGGAACACAGCAGGGCAGTCTCTTGTGAAAGATGCTCTTGGGGGTGATTAAATGTTGCTCAGCCTTCTACAGCCTTGAGATATTATTTCTGCAGTGGAAGGACAAACGTTGGCCTGGGAAGAACATTCTGTTTTGGCTTGGTGTCCAGTACCATTTTTGATAAAACGTTAAGCAGTTTCTGACTATCTAGACCTGCGTGGCCTTTA